TGGCAGAGCGAGAGGGCGAGAGACGAGGGACGGCCATAGGCAGCGAGGAGGAAGACGGCAAAGCAAACAAAAACAAAACCCCCTGGAGAAATGCACCACCCACACGGAGCACAACACAGAACAGCGGCAGCAAGCGACAGCGAAATTGAAAAGAGAAGAAAAAAAACGAGTCAAAACAGCAGAGCACTGCCGGCGAGCACAGTTGGGCCGCCCCAGCCACAACGCCTTCCTCCTGGGACGGAGGAGAACAGCTGATACCACGCCGCCCTCACGCTTACTTGGAGCGCTGGCGCATGCGCCGGCGACGCCGCTTTAAGCGCTTTATGCGCTTCTTGTGCCACTTGGGCCGCATGCCTCCCGGACGGCTAATCGTCCCCATTTGTGCTCTACGCAAGTGTGGGGAGGAGGAATCAAACCAAAAGACAAAGAACAGAAAGAAAAGAAGCAGCAGGCAAAAATTGCAGAGAAGTCAGCAGCGTCCACGCACGCGAACACGCCTCCCCGGGCAGGCAAAGACAAAAATGAACCCCCGCCGCACGCACCCGCGGCCGCGAAGAAAACCCGTCAACAGACGCATACGCGACGCCACTCCAATGCAACGAAGGGCAGCGCAGCGCATTCCCGCACTTGCGCCGGCGGTTTCCTGCGGCCCACTGCCCCCCGTTAACCGAGCGAGCAGCAGCTAACGCGCCGGTAACGGCAGGACGGCAACGGAGCCATTGTCGTCGATGTCAACGTACAAAGACACCAGGGCCGAGGGGTTGTCGGGCAGGTGCCGCAAAATCCCCGGGCCCACCAGGGCCGAGACAGCCTGCGCAACACAGCGGCCGTTTTCCACCGGAAGGTCGTCGCGCACAAGGTCAACGAACCACAAAACCGCATCCTCGCTCACGCGCAACTCCCGGATTGCCTCCCCGTGTCGGCACTTATAATCCAGGATGGTCAGTCGGACGATCTCCTTGGCCGTATCCAGTGCCGCCGGGAGAAATGGAAATGTCTCAATCATCGACGACGACAGTTGACTGTAGAGGCTCTTAAAATCCTCCTCAACGAGGCGACGCATTTCCGCGAGGCTCTTCCCCTGCGTGCGGCCCTGCCGTCCGAAGTCGGTGGTCACAATAACAAATAAGCGGCCGAGGGGCACGCCGGGAGCCTCCGGAAAAGAGGGCGCCCTGCCCAACAATGGGAGCAGCACACGCACAAGATCCGGGTGCAGGGCCCCAAGGTCGTTGACGATGACGACACCATTTTTTGGGAACCTCAGGGCGTGCTGCACTATCCTCGGGACCACGACCCGGCGGAACTCCTGCGCACTGTAGCCGTCATAGCTGACGCCTGAGAGCACCAGCGTGGAGTCACCCGTCGTGCACGCGGCGTCGCGGCACCTGAGGCCCAGGGCCAGGGAAATGAGCTGCGCCAGCGTCGTCTTGCCCACCCCATTATCCCCCGCGAAGTGGAGCACCAGCGGCTTGTCTGGATTTTCAAGCTTGGCGGCCAGGCTCCGCGTGACGCCCTCAACCACGTGCCGCTGTCCCTTCAGGCTCCGCTGCGTGAGTCGCCTCAGTCGCACCAGCACCTGCTGCTTGTAATCGCCCCGGTCAACGTCCACGGGGTACCGGAACAGAAGGCACATCAGCCCCTTCACGAGCGTTGGGTGCGAGCTGCACAATGGCCGCAGCATGCAGTCATCCGCCTCGCCGGGATGAAGTTCGACGTGGGCCACCCAGGGGACGAGCGCCGCGACAACGGCGGCCAGAAGCGCCAGGAGACAAGTGCTGGTCGCGCATGGGCCCATCTGCGGCATTCGCCTCGCGGGACGGCGGCGTGCGTCGGGCCAACCGGCAGCAGAAAATAATGGGGGGAGTGACCGAGAATAAAAAAAAGCAGAAGCAAATTCACCAGCCAGCGCCACGCAGGGAATCCCAGCACCGCCCCGGCCAGCCCCGGAGGGACAACGACGGCATGCCCAGAGGATCAAAAGTGGGAAAAACACCGCCTCGCAATCCTTTCAGCGGGTTTTTTCCCCGAGAATTTAGCTTGTTGAAAATTTGGCCTCTCAGTTGGAAACGGAGCCGGCACCCTCAGTTACCGTTCTCACAGACACACACCGATACCTAGACACGTAAAAAAAAACTCCTACACACATGCATAAATATATATATATTGATGCACACTTCCTCAGTTACCCCCAGAAGCAAAGCACACACACACACACCCACCCGCAGAGCCTAATGGCAAAAACAAAAAAAAATAGAAGCAAAAAAAGTTGCATGTTCCCTCATTTAATTTTCAGTTGAATATTTTTATTGCGGCGCCGTCCTTCCCCCTACACAATCATTTTTTTCTGCTCCGGGGACCAGTCGGACGGAGAATCCTCGAAAAGGTTCAGCTTTTCCTCCGCAACCTCATCCTCGGCGGTGTCCGGAGCAACGCGCGCTTTGTGCACGCGGTAGCCGATGAAGTAAAACCACTTTGCAGCGCTCGCGAAGGCAATAAATGAGCAGAAGTCGGACTCCCCCGTCCAGCGCTGCCTCCGCATGATGCCCCGGGCCAGCAAAAAGATGGCAACGCCCCAAAGTCCCAAGCTGACCAACAGCACAGTCGACTGGAAAAGGATACGGCTCTTGCTTCCCGGCGAAAGACGCTTGCAAAGTGTCTTGTCCGGGATAACGTACATGACCGTCGTCAGGGCAATGAAGACACAAGCCAGAAAAAAGCCGGACGCCGCCCAGTAATTGTTGAATTCTTTTATGAAATGATAACACCCACTGCGTAGGCCACGATGAACAGCACATACAGCGACACGCGAATCCGAAGACACGACTTCTCCGCAGGAGTCATGCTTCCCACCACCCCTTTGTCTTGTTGCGGAATACTCCTTGCCTGTGCGGGGCTTTCCTTGCTCGTTCGTACCACTCCTTCCTTCTCTCCGAAAGGCAACCCACGGCGCAAAGAAGCACACGCCCACGCAGAACGGGAGGTGGGGAGAGAGGCAGAAAAGAAGGGTGGTGAAAGGGGAGAGAGGGGAGAAGCAGACAGTAAAAGCTCAGCACCGCCCATGTGCGGCGGCATTGCACCAGGATCCTCCCGCCCACGACGGGAGGGAGCGCCGCGCCCGCCGTTCAGCCCTTCCAATCGAAGCCTCCGTCACAACTCCGGGGCCGCGGCGGTGCAGGTGCCAGCTCCGCAAGGAGAAGTGCTCCAGGGGACTGCGGGTGGCCCTCCCCCGCACCCCCTCGTCGCAGGCAAGCAGAACAGTGACGACACAAAAACTCCCCTCGGCCGCCACGCACTCAAGCGATCCGTCTCCCTGCTGGCGCCAACCCGGCCGCGGCAGGGACGTTTACGTGCCCGTACGGACAATGCCGACACCTTTTCCCGCAGCAGACGCCGCGCCTCATGTGGAAGCTCCGCGTCAGAAGCGGCCGGCCGGCGGTTGGGTCGACGTACTTGTCCCTCCCGGCGTCATGCGCCCTCCGGTGCGCCTCCTCAACCTCGCGCGGGAGAAGCCGCTCCAACTCATTTTTGCCCTCGGCCACCGCGTCCCTCGCGGCACAAAGAGCACGCGGCCTCCGCAGACGCCCCCGGCCTACCGTGGAGGCACAACCGCGGCACCCGAAGAAAACGCCTCTGGTTTGGGGGGGCCGCCTGGAGGACGAGGGCCCATCGGCGGGCAGGCATAACATGTGCGGCCGTTTTCCGCGCAACACGGGAGGAGGATCACAGAAGGGCAGAGAAAGCGCGGACGCAATAACGCAGCAACAGAGAAGGACCAACAACAACAACAAAATCGACGCACGGGGCGTGGGCAAAGACGCCGCCAAAACCATGGGCGCACAACCCCCGAGAGGGCCACAGTGCCGGCAGCTGCGTGGGTGGCGGTGTCCGCACAGCTGCTCCGCCCGACGCGTTTCCTAAATTAGTGCCCTCGCGCAGCTGGACAATTGAGTTTCCTTCCGAGCGTGCGGAGACAGGGAGGTGCGTGGGCGTGTGTGCGGGCGCGTACATGTGCCTCGTCTCCCGCCGGCGGAAGTGCGGCTCCGCGGCCCCACACCCTCCCCCCGCCGCAGAGCCGCACACGAAGAATGTCAAGAAAAAAAAACACAAAAAACAACAACCACAATTGAGTAGAAAAGGGGGCGGGAGAGAAGGAAAAGATGGGAAAACAAAAAAGATAGGCACTCCGGTAATAAGAAAAAAAAAAAAAAAGAAGGACTTCGGTGTCCGGGGTGCATCGTGAAGCACGGAAAATTTGGATAAAAGCAATAAAAGCAAAAATGGGGTGTCTTGGCGTTTTCCCTCTCCCTGCGTGCCCCGAGCCGCTCGTGCGCCCCCCCCAGCCGCGTGCGCGAGAGACCCGCGCCCGAGCGAGGGCTCCTTTTATCAGCCCTTCTTTGCTTCCGCACGCACACCCACTATCCCTCTTACTACAATTGCCTTCTACAGCGTGCGGTTCCCTTCGCCCCACCTGCCTCCTTGGCACGCAACAACACAGCGAGTGTACCGCCGTTGTCGGGGCCCACGTTGCGCCCAGCCCTACCGACGCCTCAGTTTCGCGACGCGCAGGTGCGGGAGCAGGCCCTCAGCACCCAGCGAGTGCTTGTATATTCCCCCGTGGAACACCTCCGTCGCGTCCTTGCCCACGAACATGTCCAGCATCTTCTTCCCTCCCGGGTGGGCCTCGTACCACACAATTTTCGCGTCGGAGTGCGTGTAACCGGCGCCTGTTGGGACGGACCTCTGCAGGTCAATAACGCTGTCGCCAACCACAGTCAGCTTCTGGCCCTGCCGCACAAGCCGCGCCACGTCATCCCACGTGTACTCCTCCGTTGTGGGGAGCTCAAGCTCCTTCAGTCGCCTCTCGAGGGACCCCAATTGCCTGCCGAGCTTAGTGCGCAGGAGCTGCTTCACGTTCCGCTCAATCACGTCGTTGGGGGTGCGCACGAGGTGGGTGGCCATCTGCAGGCACTCACACACGCGAATGGTCCACTTGGTCGGATCGAAATGGTACCACTTGATGCCGTTGCGGTAGTCTTGCGCAAACTCGTGGTGAAAATTGTGGTACCCCTCCCCAAACGTCAGCAGCGCGCAGACAAAGGAGTCGTGCGAGGTGTGGCGGTCGGAGTAGTTCTGCACCGCGCCGAACCAACCCTTATGGGCCAGGCTGTTGATGAAAAAGGTGCAATGATGCACAAACACCACCTTCGCGAGCCCCGCGTAGAAGTACCCACCGAGCCAATCGCCCCAGCCAAGGCCGCAAATCAGCGTCGGGAGAATGATACCGGACACCATGGCGATCTTGAAGAAATGGCGATGCTGGAACTGAATAATGTTGTTGTACCTGAAATCGCTGACGTCCACCTTCCCGAGAAGCGCATAATCCTGTTTCATGATCATCCAGCCCATGTGGGAAAAGAAGAACCCACGGGTGGCGTCATACGGGTCCTTGGGCGTGTCCACGTAGCGATGGTGGATGCGGTGGTTGCGGCCCCACCACTTGGCCGAGCCCTCAAAGGCGCCTGCGCCAGCCACCGCGCAAATCCACTGAAGCACCGGGTGCGCAATGAAGCTTCGGTGGGAAAAAAGGCGGTGGTAGCCCACGGTGACACCAATCATGCCGTTGAAGACGTAGAAGAAGGCTGCCACCACGAGGGTCTTCGTCACCAGAGGCACACCCGCCAAAACAGCCGCGGCCACCGTGACGGGAGGCACAGCCAGGACGGCGACGGCCAACCAGTTGATCTCGTAGTTGCCCTGCCTCCACTGCGGCACGCTACGTGCCGCCTTTTCGTCGGAAACCGGCATGCCCCGCGGCTCGCGCTGGTCCAAAGCCGCCATGACCGCGGTCCCCCTTCTTACCGAACAACGCACAGAATATCAACGCCTGGATGAGGCGCCACCCTTCCCTCCCACACCGAGAACGGAAAACAGAAGAGGAGAAGCAGTTCGCCCCGCTACGCCCAACCTGCCAGCCCAAACGAGAGCCGTTTACGGCCCGCAAACGGAAAGCAGTTGGTAAATAAAGGCGTCACAGAAGTAACCGGCCTCGCCGTGGACGCGACAAGCAGCAGTCGTCGGGGCCCGCAACCGCAGGACCACCTCCACGTGGCGGGTATCGGTAGCGGGGCGGCGCAATGCGGTGGCAGCGCCCACGCAACTGCACCCGCGCCGCCCTCCGGCGAGGCCGCATTGGAAAGCCACAAACAACAAACCCCCATGCGTGTCCCATTTTAGCAAGAACAAACAACAAAAAAACAGAAATGAACTCAGCAAAAGCTCCACAAAAAAAAAGGCACCTGGTTCAAGGGGAACAGCGGTGGAGGCGGCGTCAGGACTCAGCCGCCACCCTCACGCTTACTTGGAGCGCTGGCGCATGCGCCGGCGACGCCGCTTAAGGCGCTTTATGCGCTTCTTGTGCCACTTGGGCCGCATGCCTCCCGGACGGCTAATCGTCCCCATTTCCTACCTGGCAGAGCGAGAGGGCGAGAGACGAGGGACGGCCATAGGCAGCGAGGAGGAAGACGGCAAAGCAAACAAAAACAAAACCCCCTGGAGAAATGCACCACCCACACGGAGCACAACACAGAACAGCGGCAGCAAGCGACAGCGAAATTGAAAAGAGAAG